CCTTCCTTCCTTCCTTCCTTCCTTCCTTCCTTCCTTCCTTCCTTCCTCCCTTCCTTCCTTAAATTGCCTTTTGCTGGGTGTCTTGTCACATCAGTGAGCAAAGCAACTAACATGGGGACCACGGGGACAGAACTGCACGTGAGAAATGCCAGTGAGAAGCGCTGAGGTGGATTGGGGACAGGAAGAGCAACAAAAGCCGAATGTCTGTCTACACAGGCTGGGGGCTGAGGCACCTAGTGGGGCCTATGGGTCAGGGAGAAGTCACAGGAGGTCAAGAGGACCAGCCATCTAGCCATTGGGAGGGTGGCCATGGGAAGTATAATGGCCTGAATTGAAATGTCCCTCTCGGGCTCATGTATCTGAACACCTGAAGGCTGTAGAACCTTTAGGAAGTAGAACCTGCTAGCGGTGGTTCTCAGCCTGTGGGTCAACGACCCCCTGGGAGTTGAAGGACCCTTTCACAGGGGTTGGTCTGCCCAAGACCATCGAAAAACACAGATATTTACATTAATGATTCATAACAGTAACAAAATTACAGTTCTGAAGAAAAAATTTTATGCTTGTGGGGGGTGACCACAACAAGAGGAGCTATATTAAAGGCGGCAGCATGAGGAAGGTTGGGGACCACTGTGTTGGAAGAAGTGGGTCTTGAGTCACTAGAGGAGGTTCTTGAGGGCCCAGCACAGCTGCTTCCTGGTCTGCTGAGGTGTGAGATCAGCAAGCCACCTCATGCTCCTGCTGTTATAGCCACGAGCCTTTCCACTGCCAAGCCTTCCCTGCTGGAACTCTCAAACCACCAAGCAAAGGAAGCCTCCTCCCCCGACACACGGCTGCGGATTTGTGCACCAGTGCATGCGTGCATCTGCAGAGGCCGGAGGTCTCCACCTCAGTCCGCCGTTGCTCTGCTCCTTAGCTGCTGGGACAGGGGCTCTTACCGAACCCGGAGCTCACTAATTTGGCCAGACTGCCCAGGCAAGCTCCTTCGCTCCCCTGTTTCCACCTCCCAGAACCAGAATTACAGGGGCACACAGCCACATCTGGCTTGTTTAGGGACTGGCATGTCCTCATAACTGTGCAAGAAGCACTTTACCCCCTGAGTCATGTCCCCAGTCCCCTTCCTCTCATAGATTGCTGGTCAAATATTTGGTCCCAGCAATAAGAGAAATTAACAAATACAGAGAGTTTAATTCAGCTCCCTCATTCTGATGTGTCTATAGGTTCCACAGGGGAAGCTTAATGGCTTGCAATGGAGGCCTGTGGCTCCCTATGTCAGAGAAGGACCAGGCCCTTCCCAGTCTTGTTGTTTTTCTCTTTTCTGATAATACGCACACACACACACACACACACACACACACACACACACACACACACAC